CTCTTCATAGCCCAGTGAGAGTCCTGTAGTGTGAATATACATACGTACGGACTATTAGCTATGGTTGAGTTGGTTAGAATGTATATGCGTATCGAGTCTCTACTTGGATTGTAGTAGATTAGAACTTGTTCGTGGGCCAGACCCACTACTATTTTTCAGGTACTCATCAGTTCCAGACTTAGACTTGTTCGTGCTGAGCAAAGACGGTCACTCACTCTACCGACGACGTAGGAGTTTTCCTCATGGTTTAGCATTGGATTTCTTTTCAGTTGTTCATTTTTCAATATTGGATTTTTAGTAGGGGTCCACGAGTTAGATTCCCGAGTTGTATTAGAAGTGGAGAAGAAGTTAGATGTATCAAACTAGTTCTTATTTATAAAATTTTTATTTCTGAGGATTTTCAATAAAGGATATTCGTTTTAGTTTTTTTTCAGCAAAATTTTTATTCGTTCCTATTATATTAATTATATTCTGTGTTCGTTAATTGCTAATTGATTTGATATCCTCGGGTAATCGGGCGTGGGCCTTGCCAACCCGTATCCGAGAATCCGGGGGTATCACACATATCATGGCACCATAACTATATATAAAAAATCCATCCTATCCAGTATAAATTAATCCTCTATATGTCATTCAACTTATTCAGTTGACCTGACTTGAATATAAGTAGGACTTAATATTTTAGTTAATCCATTCCCTTATACAAAATAGGTAGGATTTAACTGATAAGTTAATCTGTCCCTAGAATGCCACCGTCCCATATTGGTGCATTAAACTACATAATTCAACAATTGATGTAACATTTAAGGAAATACATCAAAGAATCCAGAAAAAACCATGATAATATGATATCAAGTTATCATAAAATAGGAATGACTTAAAAATTATTTAAGCTTCCTACATCACATATCCTACACATATTGAATCTTAAACATGCTGTTATTTTATTATACTGTCAAGTAAGCATTCATCATATACAATTTATGCTACATCTTTAATCTTAATTGTTAGAACAAATTAAAGATTAAATCCATTCATTCCTCCAAATAATCCAATAACATGCCTTGTTATATTTAAATTTGTTTAGAATTTATTTAAACTCCTATCCAGTCCTTATTTGATGTCTAGGACTCCTCCAAATCAATTAAAAATTTAATCAACGCTGTTTACAAAACTTCTCCAGGTAAGGCTCGAGGTTTTGTCCTAAATGCTCGAGCACCCTACTTCAGGCTCGAGTATCCTATTTCAAGCTCGAGCTTTTCACTTAATTGCTCGAGATTTCCTTCTCAGGTTCGAGCTTTACATCCAATTGCTCAAGCTTTACATCCATGGCTCGAGCTTTGCCTCTAAGGCTCGAGTACTGTATCAACGACTTGAACAATTTACGCAACTCAACCCAGAATTTTACTGTGAATTCATTCCTTATTTGTTTTAGGAATCCTAGGCATGTTTCCACGTTCCATCAATCCACATATATGAAAATTACATAATTTGAACATGTAAAAATTCATAAAAGAAATCAAATCAAATCCGTGAATTTTACCATTCATACTATAAGAACAAATATGAACTAAATTCAGAAACCTATGTTCTAATCCAATTAACATGCGTAATTGTTTAATTTTATATGATTAAAAATCCTGAAACCTCCTAGGCATGTATAGAAACACGAATCAAAGGGAGAGAGACAGAAGAAGAACTTGCCTTAAACTTTCGGATCGAAAGTTAAACTTCTTCTTCCTTGAGTGTTTCAGTATTTCAGTATTTATTTATTAATATATAAAAAAAGAGTTTTTATAAACAAAAAATTACATAAAAATTATTTAAAGAGTTTAATTCAAATTACAAATTACCTAGTAAAATTTATAAAAATTAATTTAAAGAGTTTAATTCAAATTACAAATTACCTAATAAAATTCATTTTTCTTGTCCCACATTAGTTTTAAGTAAAAAAGATTACATAGAAGCCTCTTATAAAACTATAGAGCAAAAAGGTTTTCTCCTCCTTCCTTCCTCTTCCTCCTTCTCTCTCTAACTCTCTCTCTCTAGAATATTATGTGATATATTTCTAACCCCCTTTTTACAACCTATTGCTATATATTTATAAGCCAAATAAAATAACCCTAATCATTTTTCCAATACAAGTCAACTTAAAATATATATATATATATATATATATATATATATATATATAAAACGTAAAATATGATACGTACATAATTTATGTACATCCTTAATAAATAAATAAATTATATACATTCCATTATTTATTAACACATTATCTAGTAATACTTAAGTTACTATAATATTAAAAGGTAACTTAAAATATAATGCGTATAAAATCTATGTATTCTTATTATATAAATATATATAATATATACATCAGATTGAATATTAATACCCAAGTTACCATAAAAGTAATTAATAAATTATTTTTCCTTTTATATATGTATATAATATATATCTATATATACATACACAACTATCTATGGGTAATTATTCATACCCATCCAACATCCTATCCAAGTAGTCCATAGGACCTAATTGGTTGGCCCATTACTACTAAACAAAACCATAAAATAAAATAAAATATTTAATCATTTAATTTATAATTAATCAAATACATCATTTAAGTACATTATCTAATTAAACAAATAAAACAAATAACACTTAGATAAAATACAAATAACACATAGACAAATAGCCAATTAATCAAGTAACACATAATTCAATTAAACACATAAGTAATTAGTCAAATAATCAATTAAATAATTAAAAATGCCATAAAAATAAATAAATAAATACCGAGACTATCATTTTAAAATTAGGGGTATTACAATAATTATAGGCAATACTTACGTCCTCACTAGTGAGGATCCAGAGCATACCGATCGCTGAGGTGGACCAATAATAAATGACCATGTCATCTTTAATTACCAAATCAAAAATGGTGAGTAGATACTCATTTACTAAATCAGAGATATTAATTTAATTACCATTTTTGATTTGGTAATTAAAATAAAACGTGTCTATTTATAATTAGTCATGATCAGTATGGCGTGGATCGTCACTAGTGACTAGTGAGGACATAAGTATTGTCTATATATAAATTACATCAATTTTTCTAAAATAGAATTATCAAAAGTTCATTGTTATATAAATTTAAAATATATCTGAAAAAAGGAAAATATAAAATATTAAATGATCTAAAAAAGATGAACCATTATATTAAAACAGGGAAAAGAAATCTATAGCTCCAAATATATTAGTGTCTCTTTAATTACATCAGTTATAGAATAATGGACCGATCAAAAAATTATATGAGAGGGACAACAAGATATATATATATATATCTATATCTATATATATATTCTTTCAAGCTATCATATTAAATTATTATATATATATATATATATATATATATATATATATTCTTTCAAGCTATCATATTAAATAAAAGAATTTAACATTAATTTATATTATTATTTAGTATAATTACAAATGTCCTCGACCATTTTCTCTCTTTTTATTGTGTCTCGCTTTATAGATACTTTATTCAACCTATTGTGCATATACAAGATGAGCATGTAAATAAATTGCCTGCCATGTGTCTATTATTCCATTAACTTTAATGGAAACAATACCTGAGGAAAAAAAAAAAGAAGTAAATTTCAGGTAGATATGAAGATATTTTTTCGCTCACATGGAAACATTTTCTAGTAATGATAAAAACATTTTTATAAAAAAAGAAAAAAATTATTTAATATAAAATAGTCTTATAATTTCCTTAGACTAATTCTTTTATTTAATTAAAAAAAATTTGAAACAAAAAGTTATACCAACAACTATGTTAAAAATCCCAAAGGGTTAGCCTAGTGGAACTTGGGTGTTTACTAACATCGCCGTCTAGGGTTCGATTCCCATTAAGAGCTTACGACAACTTGGGCACCCCTCCGCCTTACCTGATCCGAAGTGGAGAGACGCCTTTCCTATATACTCGGAGATTAGTCTTAGATATAAAATTTGAAGCTGCCAATTCTTTGAAACCAAAGTGACTTGATTCATATGTATACAAAGCCCGACCCGTTTATCATAACCCAACTCAATAGAATAGCCCGACCTATTGCACTCGGAAAATAGATCTGGTAAACGAAACCTTTTGACTTTCCCTTGATAAAACTTTTTAACTGTCTTATATTCAATCTTTACAAAGATCTATCAAATTAGATAGATATATCATTATAACCATTCCAATAACACTGCCAATTACAATTATTAATTCCTTATTTAATCAACCCAATTTAACCAAATAGATTTAGAAAATCTTTATCCTCTGTACATAATTTTTTATAGGGCTAAATGCTCTGACTCCCCCCGAAGTTTCCATTTATTGCTCCCATATTAAACCTCAGCCATTTTTGCTATAACACCCCCTTCAGGTTTGGTTTAACTTGCTCTGACACTCCCTCCTAATAGTTGACCATTAATCAAGTCAAAAGTCAACTAAATTAATAACATTAAATGCCTAAATTACCCTCTTTTGTTTCAAGTACCAATTTTATCCTTAATTAATTAGACATTTATACCCCTCACTTATTATTACTTAAATATTTGAATTATTCCTTAATTAATTGGACCTTTATATCCCTCATGTGTTATTACTTACATATTTGAATTTCCCTCCATAAAAATTACAGATCTTGGCACCCGCCCTCTTTCTATGTTTTTATTTCTCATATTTCCCTAGTTTAACTGTTTAAGGCAATTATTTTGCTTTAACTTGTGCTTGCTAGCTTAATTGTTTGGTCACCGTTGTAACCGTTGTAGTAATGAATTACTATTTTTGAAAGCTTGTTCCCTATATTTGTAAATTCAATAAAACATATTTAGATAAAATTACTAAATAAAGCCACTCACATCACAATGTAAACGTTATTACATATTTATTTGAATATAATTTCATAAACCCACGTAACAAAAGCCCATTCAACAACTGTAACTTGAGATTCCAACATAATCCATTATTTCTCATTACAATCATTTCAATCCATAAAAATAATACAAATAGCCTGCCACCATAAACATCCATGCAGTTTTATTAGATGTTCAACTGCAAATATGGAATGCCAAAAAAACGATATCCAACGGAAATCCAAGTGGGGTTTAAATAAAAAATAACATGTTCTAACTATCCAACAAAAATCCAAATTGGATTGAAATAAAAAATCACTATGTTCAACATTTCCAACCATCCAACAAAAATCTAAGCAAGGTTGAACTCGAGAACCTGCAAACATGAAGAAAAAAAAACTAATAAACAACCAACTTTATTAATGGAACAAATAATAATGCGTAGGAATTAACCATGTTGAATAACTTATTGTGAAAGTTACCTTTTGATGTCCTACTAGCTTGAGTAGGAAATGAAGAACCAGGATCACTTGTTACTTGCTGACTACAAAGAAGAAAAGGAAATCCAATAAAATTATGCACATAAAATGCAAAACAAAAAAAAAGTTTCAAAGTCCAACTTACTGAGATTTCCCTTCTTAAATTTCCCCTTTGATGACTTGTTCCTTCTTCACTACTTTAAATGGTGAAAGTTACAGAATTAACAACCAAATTGAAACCAAAAAAGAAAAAGAAAAAAAGAAACTGAGAAAAAATAATACAACTTACATGTCTGTTCACTACTCTTCCTTGTTGCCCACTGCCAACTGGTGCTCCCTTGCATGTTCTTTGGTTGTGTCAATGGATACCACAAATACTGCATCTTAAATTGCATGATCTTTTCAATGGAGCTGCTTCATCAACTTCCCTTATCCTATTTTTCTTACGTTTTCCGGTAGCCTTCTATGGGGTGGTGACAATACTGGATTACACTCCACCTCTGGCCAATCACTTTTATCATGCATTGGATGTATCATTTTTCCATATGCACTCAAATACATTTCCTTTGTAAAATACCTATCCACAAAGTCCTCAAACTTATACCTTTTGAAAGCAATACAAGCTGCAACATGCTTACAAGGAATCCCAGTTAGCTCCCAAACCCTGCAACAACATGTCCAAGTGTTTAATTCACTATATATTTTCTCTCAGGTTATACCACCTCAAATTCATCACCTCCGGCATGGCTGGGATTACAAAACCTAGACTTATCTATTGCATTATTCAATATTTCAAGCATCTTTGGGGTAATGTTAGATTTCCATGTTGTGGCCTTCTGAAACCTCTTTTGCATCCTGTACATCAACTTTGACCTTACACTGTCCACTAGGGTAAGAATTGGTTGTTCCCTTAATTTCCCTAACCAGCTGTTGAAAGACTCAACAAAGTTGCTAGTGACATGATCAGCCCTTGCATAACCATAGTATTTATGCCTTGCCCAAAGCTCCAAAGGGTGATTCATCAACCACGTATATGCTATCTTATTAACCACTCTAATTTCATTCATTGCAATCTTGAATTCCCTTTCAGTGTAAGCCCTAGCTGCAGCCCAGAATTGCTTCCTAAATTTTAACCCTGGAAACTTACACTTGTAGTTGTTGAAAATATGTCTGCACCATCTTCTATGGATGTAACCATTGAAAATGTTATTAAGTGCGGGCTCTATTCCCTAAAAAGAAAAATAATTCAAATTGTTAAAGCATGTACAACAGATTGAAACAATTGAAAAAATATAGTTAAAATAGTCTAAAACACAGGACCTTTTGACCATCTGTTATGAAGGTCCAAACCCTGTTTTGATGATTTGCAACACCAATAACATCCTTTAAACAATCCAGGAAGAACTCCTAAGCCTCTTTGGTCTCGGCCTCACAAATGCATCTTGCGATGGGGAACACCCCATTGTTTCCATTAAGAGCAATGACAGAAAGCAAAATCCCATTAGCCATACCTTTCAAGTGGCAGCCATCTAACCCAATGAATGGTCTACAACCAAGCTTAAACCCTTTATCGAGTGCAGCAATTGACATAAAAAATCTCTTAAAGCAATTGACATGGGGCGGGATCAAGTGCCTTTCCAACTTGGTCACACTTCCTGGGTTAGTTAGTCTCAATTCCTCAGAATAATTCGGAAGTTTTGCATATGACTCTGACTGAGACCCAAAGTTTAGTATTGCAGCTTTTTTCTTAGCCCTATAGCATGTCCATAACCCAACTAAAGCACCCCATTTCTTTTTTCACCTCATCATGCATACTATCCTCTGCCATATTTGGATTAAGTCTAAGCTGCTCCTTCATCTTTGAACAAATCCAACCACCTTTAGCATCAGGATTTTTTTCTTGCCTCACACATGTATGTTTAGGTCCAACCCTCCTCACTATGTATGTAATACTATTTGTAATAGGGGTTGCCCTAATCATCCACTTACAACCCTGACAACCACAATGTGCAACTACCCTACACTTTTCATTCTTGTCTCTCACTAACTTGAACCCCTCTTGAATAGCAAAATCTTTCAAAATATCTCTGAAATGGTTAACATCATCAAACACGACCCCTTTTTAATTCTATCTTCCCAGCATCTGTCCTCACAAATATTTCACCTTTAAGACTCATATCTTCAACATCATTCATTACCTCATCATCGCTTAACTGGGCATACCCCCTACTATCATCAAAGTTGTAATCTGACAACTCACTACCATCTTCCTCATTGAAGTCCTCATTAATATATTGTACATTGTCATCAAAATCATAATCCATATCATCCCCCACATGGACTTCATCAACATTTGCAATTTCATTGTACTGTTCACCATCACTACTACAATACCCACTGTAACACTCGTTCTCACTCTAATCAGGATCACTATCAGTATCATTCTGAGAGGCAGATTGCACACTACCAGTTGGTGTAGGGGTAGGTGTTGGTGTTGGTGTTGGTGTAGGAGTAGGTGCCGGTGTTGGGGTAGGTCTATCAGTTCCAGTTACACCACTACCTCCACCAAAAGAACATATTGGATTGTCACAAATTGAACCCTCAATGAATACTTCAATATCCCTAATCCCTCTATGCATTTCAAACATCGTTGACAAATCTCTATCATATTTCATTAGCATTCTATCCCTTATACCAGGGATACCACAATACGTGTCCAAGGTGATGCCAAATGTAAGGCTACCAATGAATGACAATGTACAAACATCCTTTAATAAATCCTAGCAACAGCACGTGACTGGGTCTACATCACCTATTACTACCACTTGACAACCATAATTCACAAGAATGTCACGCATCTTCTCCAACCCTAATTGAACAAATTTAAATAATAAGAAGCACTTCAATTTAATAAAGTCAAGTTTAGAAAATTTATCAACTAATCAAAATAGTACCTTTATATACAACAATCAAAAGAAAAAAATTATACAAACAATATCCTTTGGGTAAATCTTTTGTTGTGGAAATTTTCCTTGAAACAGTATATAGTTGTGGAGGAGAAAAATAATAATAAATAAAAGACGACCCAGTTCTCTGAAAGATGTTTTTTTTTTTTTTTTTTTTGGTGTTTGAAACTCCCAACAAAGACTTTGCTCTCCGATGTTGTACTGAATATGATTTGTTAGTCTATGACTAGAATTCTTATCTATTTCCCTTTAAAGCTATCAATATCAAAAGGGTTGTTGAAGATTCTTATTCCACTTATTCAAGCAAATCTTGCTCTCTTGATAATATAAAAAATAACCCAAAATAGCATCTTAGAAATAATTTATAGATGAATAAGATATAATAAAAATTGTCAAAGAAAGCATTTTGTAAAGCCATTCCAAAAAAAAAAAACACACCTTTAGGTTTTGTATATTTTATATGAATTATAAGAATTTTATTAGCATACTAACTTCAATAAATTTTGGAACTTGTTGTTTAGCTTGGAGGTCCTTACATCCCCCTTTCAACTGGAAGAAGAGATGGTAGGAAGAGCAGGACAGATGTGCTTGAGCAATACCTCCCAGACCACAATGAGAGTATCTTTGTTGTCCTTGAGAAGTTTGGGTAAATCTTTGGTTGTGGAAAATTTACTTGAAACAACATATAGTTGTAGAGGAGAAAAAAAATAATAAATAAACGACGAAGAGAGAGATGATATATAGTTCGGAGAAGATGAACTAACTTGTGCGATTTTCCTCAGCGATTCAGAAGACAAACTCTCTGTAATTTCTCCAGTGGAGGAACTGGCGGCAGTGATGCTACTCGAGACTGGAAAAGGAGAGTGGGACTGTCGGAGGATTGCAGAGTTCAGATACCCAGAAATCACCATCAAAATTGCAGACAAACTTTGTTTACAAAGAAGGGAATGATATGGAGATTAATACAGTTAGGGTTTTTGAGATTGATAGAGAAATAAGATAAAGGGAGATAAGATGGAGTCTTGGCCTTTAATTCCTGAGATGAAAAGTGTAAGTTGCAGAGATTACAAAGGAAAGGGTGAGATAGAGATGGAGGTAGAGAGAGGTAGTGACAACAAAAGAAAGATGGGTTTTAGGGTTTGTTTAATCAAATCAATTATAAGGGTAGTTTTGTGATTTCATATTTTATCCATACATGTTAGTAGTGACATCAGCTTGAGTGTTAAATTAAACATGGGTATAACAGTAAATTCAAATTTTTTGTGAAAAAATTGACGTCCGTCAAATCGTGTAGGGGGTGTCAGAGCAAAAATGGCTGAGGTTTAATATAGGAGCAATAAATAGAAACCTCAGGAGTGTCAGAGCATTTAGTCCTTTTTTTATATTTTTATTATGAGAAGGCTCTCTTGATATCATTACTTTATAACATACTTATAAATCTAAATCAAACCGTAAACAAACATCCCCTGCACATATTACATACCTATATATATATAGACATAAATGTATAGTACGCCGATCATGGTGTGAAAGGATCAAATCTCCTATCTAGAAACCTCAGACATCCCACACCTTTGAATTTGTACTTGATGAATATGAAAAAGATGGAGCAGATCAAAGAGAGAGTGTCCATATTCAACTGGATTGGATCCTCTTCAATGTGATGTGTCTTAAAAAAAATAAGTTGTGATTTTTAGTGAACTTTTCAACATTTTTGTATGTTATATTAGAAACATGAACTAGAGATAGATCTTGTTGCATATTCAACCTAATAAATTCGCGGATTAACTAATTTATTTTATTCCACTAGCTTTTGACCCACATATAAAGATAAGCCACCTCAAATCCATTTATAGTTAGGCGTGTTTGACCCGTTGGTTTGTGACATATAATTTATTGCTCATGTATCATGAGTGCACCAAAATATGTGAGAAAATTTTAAAATAAAAAATTTAGAGTTTGATTAAAGAAAGAGAATGTTTTTTTAGTGTGATAAAAAGAATTTAAAAAATAAAAAAGGAAAAGAAACAAAGGATTTCAGAGATTTTAGAAAAATGATAATTTTAAGATGCCATTTTGTAAAATTTTATAAATTATAAATATATATGTAAAAAAATTGATGAGAACGCATATACTTATGTTGGCTCTGTCGTGTTGCCACGCGTATAGTCTTTTCAACAAAACATTTTAGAACTTTTTACTCTTATACAGAGTATTAGATAATTTCTTAATGAAAATTTTAGAACTTTATTCTAGAATTTTTGCCGCAATAGATTTATGTATAAATTGTAATCATAAATCATAAAATTATTGATTTATAAATAGGATAAGAGATCATTTATTCCACACCAATAACTATATACCACAACGTTGCAAAATGTCTAGAACTGTTACTTACGTCTTTATCGACTAAACTCAGTAAGAATCTCACCTCATTTTCTGCGTACTACAATAGAACACAATGATCGGACCTCGTTGTTCATGTACTACCATAAACGGCGTTGCACACTAACAAAATACAATGCCCTGATCTCGTTGTTTGTGAACGGCAATAGATGGTGTTGCACACTAATAGAACGCAGCACCTTAATAGAGGGCGCTGCACATCAATTTCACAAAATAAAACTTGAACGCTAAGTTTAAATACAGCAGTGACTGTCAGAGATATATTGATCTCCATACATGTTAGGTTGAGGGTCATAGAATATACCGGTCTCTATACATGTTGGGTTGAGGGCCACCACTGAATAAAATAGTGAGGCAAAATTGTATCTGTGTCGGTGTATCTTACATACCACTATCATTTTTATGGAATATCCATACTCATATCTGTTCCATGATAACCCTCAATTCACAGGCAAACTTTTTAAAATCCCGATCCCTAAGGTATTTTTTTTCTAATTTTCTCAAGTATGCAATTATTTCGTTCATCATTCATTTTTTTCATTTTTTTTTTCAAACAGGGTACTGTGCAATGCTCGGGTCTCTTAAGCTCTCTAGATCACTTGTATAACGAGTTTTTAGCTAATGACTCCCAAACCAGATAGTTTTAGGGTATTAGGTGTCAAAACTATCTCCTCTGATCAATGTCAAAGACCTCCGAAAACATGGCGTGACTCTGTATTTCCTCATTGATAAGGATCATGTAACGACCCGGTCATTTGCCTTTCTTTCATTTTTTCCTGAAATTTTACGAATGAATTTTTTTCGTTTAATTTTCTTTTTTGAGCTCTGTTTCGTGTCGCTTAGTGTCATCTCGAGTGCTTGGAATTGGTTCCTGAGACTCTTTTTCGTGGATTGACAATTTCCTTTGAGGATCGAGTCATTTTCACGTTTTTTCGTTTTTCGACACTATGCGCTATTTCGTCTTTTTCCCTATTCTGTCTTATCTCTGTTTGTCAGTTTTTGGCACAACCTCACTTCTCATGCTCGAAGTTGGTTTTTGACTTCACGTGCCTTCATCTTGAGTGGTTTCCACGAAATACGTATCTTTATTTTTGCAAGAAAGTACTCTGGTTGCTCCCGGTATCCATAGGGGCATGGATGCAAAGTTCTTTGAAATTATTTTCTTTTCTTGGGGTGTTTTTCGTAAATATCTTTTGAAGATATTTTATTTCAGGGGTTTTTAAGAAAATATTTTTGGAAAATATTTTCATTCTGGGCCATAAGTGCAGTTTTCACTTTTTAGAGGGGCCATTATGCAATTAATGAAAGTTATTGCAAAATGTCTTGTTTTGAGCTTGGATCCTCGTACGAGATTCATTTTCATATTTCGTCGAGTTGTGTACTCTTGAAATTTCCTCCTGGTCGATGTTTTCCAATTTCAGGGTTTCTGGCCCCGGTTTTCGCCAAACTTGTTTTGGGCATAACTTTCTGCTCGGGACTCGGTTTTTGACGCCGTTTCTTCCGTTATTCATATTTTATCATTTTGAATCTTTTTTGTTCACAAAGTTTTTCCATTTGAGCGAGTCTGCTCAAATTTTACTTTTTCGGACCCGACGGGGCCCGTTCGGGGCACTTTTTGAGATTTCTATAAAAGGAGGGTGAGATATTTCATTTTTCATCTTCTCCCCTCTTCATGCACGACCTGGAGCTCCCATGGCAGCCTAAGGGGTGCTGCCATCTTCTCTCTCCTCTTTTGGTTCACTTTTCCTTGATGGAAAGTCTTCGGCCTTAATGTTTGTTGTTCCCCTCGCCGTGCTCTACCTTTCCCCCTTATTAGAATTCAGTTTTGACCATTTCTTGAGTTTGGTTTTGAGGTCAAGTTATGATTTTGATGGGACTTTCATGGGGGTTATGTTCACGGCGTTGTCCCCGACAAAACCTAGTAGTTTCGTCAGATTTGGAGCCGTTCCATTTTGATGGCATTTGAGATTTTCATCTCAAATTGAGGTAGGGGATGTTTTAGGTTTAAATTCTTGTTATATAGCATGCTTGTGATGCTTATACTACTTGTTTGCATGATTAAATATAAAATCTAGAGATTTTATTATTTATTTTTCTTGTACGGGATCTAATTTTCCCGGTTGCTCATGACTTGGTTTAAACATGTAGCATGATTTTATATTGCCCCTTGATATGCTCATTGTCGTGTATTAAAATTGGTACATTTGAATAAGTATTAAAGATTTTATTTAATATTTATCTTAGGTAAAAGATTAATTCACATGGCCTTAACTAGTTTAAAATTAATATGTGTTAGCATATTATATTAGGCCTTAGCATGCTCTTCAACATAGTTGAATTTGAAAGTAATTGGAGGTGTTTTGAAAATTAGTAATTATTAATTAATTTGATTAATTAATTTGCTCCGAGTACACTATTCACTCCATTTGAATTTGACTTGATAATCTTGATCTACATGCCATATAGCTTTACATATATTTGATTTAGAATATTCGGTGAGGTTTTGAAACCTTTCATTTAATCAATTTCATTGTTTAAGATTTAATCCTTATGGTGATATACAACTTGGAATTGAATTGTGGTATGCTAGAAAATTAAGCTTAGGTATAGTTGTTCACATATATTAAATTGGGATTAATTGCATGAGAATTGCAACTTTTAATTTATATTTAACTTTAGTGAAAGTTTAATTCACACGGTCTTAAATTGAATGAAATAAACTTGTAATGTGATATTACATTAGTTCTTGGCATACTTTCCAACATAAGTTAATTTGAGAGCATTTGGTTAAGTTTGAAAATTTAGAGATTTTAATTAAAAGAATTAATTAAAATATATTTTGTGATCTCATTAGCTTAATTAAGGTTTTAACTTGATGTTTGTATTGGCCATGACTTGTTTACTAGTATATATTAATTGTGGACCATTTGAAGTTGCTTTAGAACCTTGGTAATTAAATTAGCATGATTTAAGTAAAGTTCTACTTTGTTGTTCCAACAACCTAATTGAGTTTTAGAATGGATATAGGTGATGACCATATCACGTCCTTTAACATGTATTAAATTGAGGTTATTTGGAATTGAATCGGAATCTAGAGAATTTAATTGTCTTTATCTATTTAAATTCTTTTAATTTGCTCCATGATCTAGTTGTGTTTTAGAAGTGGTTTCTATATTCAAATCATGGACTTAGACTTGTTGTATATTCATTTGGTTATGTTTTGAACATTGGATAACATAGTTGCTATGTTTGTATTCGTGATAATATGTTTTCCTTATTGAATATATTGTTGCCTTGTGTAATGATTTGCACACTTCGTGTTTAACATCTTTCATGCATAGCGTGTAACGAATCGCATACTGAAGATTCGACATTCATCATATCATATTAGTTGTGGATTTAGAGCATGTATTGTATAGGTTTCCAAATTTGGTTGTGCTTAGTAGATAGTTGATTATCTTGCATATTCCTGTTGATATATACGTTGTTGCACAACTTGTTGATTTTGGAAACTTGGGGATGCCGTTGTTTGACTATGGCTAGGACGTGGTTCTAGTACGGGGGATAGTCCCTCTATATGGTCTAGTGCGCACATAGGGAGGTTACCCATGGGCTAGTAACCCTAAAGTAACTATGTTGTCGGTCTGATCCGGCGTGACGTCCGAGTATCCACTTTGTTTGATTTCGCATTTCATTTTCAAGTTGAT